ACTGTTTCATTCAATGCAACGCTAAATGAAAATCATTGCACCTTTGAAGTTGCTACAGCAACACCTTTTGCCACCAGCTGGGAGCCGTCAGACAGCAATGCAGGCCAAACAATATAATTAAAATTTTCCAGTTCTTCATCAAAATAATCATACTTGACAGTATCAAAGTCTGAAAATCGAACAACGCTGTTGTCAAGATAGACTTGATCTGTCTGGGTCGTAATTTTCCAGGCTACTTGAATACATTTGTTTGCGTATGTCCTTATCACAGTGCTGGATTTCAGGGCTGGTCTAAGATTCAGAATTTCCATAATACCTGGAATTATTTTCTAAAAAAGAAGAAATAAATAAAAGTTTAAGGACAACCAAGAGGCACAATCATAGTGCTTGTTTCATAATTTCAAAACAGACGTAATTCTTGTCAATGACAGGATCGTCTCTTCTCGGCTTTCTTTGATTAGGATTGTTCATTCTCAGTTTTCATTATTCTCTCTGTTTCTATTTCCCTATAAAGTGTTACTATTCATTCACACATTTTCTTATTTCTTTACTCAAAGTTGATCCGACTTTTGGTATGGGATACAAAGGTATTATATTATGAAAATTGTTCTTTTGTAAATTCATCAATTTTGTTGTTTTTCTTTCAGTCGTTTTTCTTTCTCTTATCTATCGTCAACGGGGTCATTTTCGGCTAAACTTGTCATGAAACATACTTGGGTGGCTGGAATGAATTTAGATTACTTCAACTGGAAGGCCCACCTCTTCTTAAGGGAAGATGATTATGAAATAATGAAGGAAATGGTGTGGGCATTTGACATTTAATCAACATTAATCTTAAGGCAAAAAACTTTTAAAAGACAAAACTTTAAGGGTTTAAGCACGTTTCTAAATTTCTGGAAATGTAAAATGTTAAGACAACAAACAATGTCCAGTACACAAAACAAATCATGAACAGGGCAAAAACTCGAACCCCTGGAAACACCAGAAGTGGGATCAGGTGCCTAGGAGGAGTAAACGTCCTCTGTTGACCGGTCACATACGCTGTGAACCCTATGTATAGTATATAAAAGCAATAAACTTTGTAACATTTACAAAATTTAAAAATCAGTTTAATTTTTAATTAGCTTATACATATGTAAACAGTGTGAATAGGGTGGTAACACGCCTAACTTAACTTAGGGTATTCGCAGTCAAAGATAGCGGATCACGTGGTACTGTGACGTAATAGGTGTTAATAAATAGATCGAGAAAACATCGTCATATAGATAAAAATATTATATCGACGATATTTCTTGGTAATGAAAGTTCAACTTTCTATGGTTTAACCTCCATCAGTGAAAAATTACCGAGAAAATTCGCAAATCGATAAGAAGCGAGGAAATTGAAGACGAAGACGGTGACACTCCGGGAAATAGACTGAATGGAACGATTAATTTTGTTACGTTTAATCTTTGTTGGTACAACAAGTAATGAGCAATTTAGCAGTCTTAATTCAATATTTGATTTCAATAATTGATATATTCAAATAAATTCTATACATCCTTCACTTGTTTCAGTAGTTAAATATTATTCAAAAGTTAAGTTTCACTTCTTAAGTAGCGCTGTGCGCAATTTACAAATGTCATACTAATTCTGTGCAACTTCTCATAATTAGTGCACGTCCTCGATTTTGCCAAAAATGTTGCCTCCCCCGCCCTTTGTGTCCTTTGGAAATGTGGCTAGAAAACTCTTCCCTTATCCCTCCTTGTGCATGATTGCGTATCCAAACGCCACGCAATATATCATACTAACTGGCGATAATCCAATTATCACCAATGCGTTTGCTAACGGATTTCATAGACACAATAATTAACCCCATTTGCAATCACAATTGTTTTATATACCTTTGACGTCAGAGAGAGAACACGCAAGAACGCTCATTAAAATAGTATATTAAGAAATTCAAACTTTAATCCCCCAGGGATCAAAAATGTTTTTTTTAATCAAATAAATTTAAATATAGATAATTTTAAAAGCATTTCAGCTTTGTTACATTAACAAGGTTTGAATCTTGATATAAGTCTCCCTTGGAGTTAAGTCCATGTTTCCTCAGATCAAGGTCCCATGCGTAGTTTTGGACCACAATGAGTCATTGTTTGTCATAGAAATACAGTTAAATTATTTAGCAAGATTAGAAGGGTACAATTAGACATATTAAAGTATAACCCCATGTAGTGATGACTGAAGATTGTGCCAAGGACAGAGGACATAATAGTGATCAGGCTTTGATACAGAAATACAAATGCATATAGGAGAGATATTTCAAAATCTTCTTTTAAAAATCCTGAGCTTAAATCAATTATATGAACATGCAAACATTCCCATCTAGTGCAAATCTGTTTTAGATAAGGCCCTTTGGGCTAAAAAGGGTTCACAAAAAACGGTCAAATATTTACACTGGAATATAACAACAAAAGTATCTTCTTCTCAAGAGCAGAAGGTTCACAGTTAAGTACACTGGTTCGCATGTATCCCAGTGTAGTATTCAATGTTTGTTCAAATCGTTGTCCCCAGGAATAGGGTTGGTCCACAAAAGGGGTTCAGAGTTTTACAAAGATTCCTACACAAAGTTATATGAAAACAGCAAGGGCTACAGTTTGTAAGCTTAACCTAAACAAGAGAGTCATGGGCCACAATGCTCACCTGAGTATGGCCCTTCTTGTTCCTTTATCCTACATACTACTATGTAAAACTTTGATCGCCCATAGGGGGTATGATTTGGGAAAAAAAAAATATGTATTACACTACCTGATGATGCTTAAACATAAATATGATTTATCATGGACTTGCTCTTCTAAGAGAACAGAATTTTCCTATGCAATCATATGTAAAACTTTAATCGCCCATAGTGGCCCCACCCTACCCCTGGGGGTCATGATTTGAACAAATTTAAATATATGTATACACTACCTGTGGATGCTTCCATATAAATATGACTGATCTTGTCTGTACTGTTCTTGATAAAAAGATTTTAAAAGATTTTTCCTATTTATAACCATTTAAAACTTTGATCGCCCATAGTGGCCCAACCTTACCCCCTGGGGTCATGATTTGAACAAATGTAAATCTACAATGTGTCAGGAAGCTTTCACATGAGTTTAATTCTTTTCTGTCCCACTGGCTCTTGAGAAGAGGATTTTTGAATGACCCCACCCATTTTTTTTCTATTTCTTAATTACCCCCCCCCCCCCTTGTAAGAGGGTGTGGCCCTTCATTTGAACAAATTTGAATCCCCAAGATACTCTGTGCTAAGTTTGGTTGAAACTGGTCCAGTGGTTCTGGAGAAGAGGAAATTTAAAAAAAATATGACAACGACGCCAACGACAGAAAAAATTTGGTTGGAAAAACTCAATTGAGCCTTCGGCTCAGGTGAGCTAAATTTGTCATTTAAGGAACTTCCATCCCCCTGTGATTTCATAAGTTTTTGCAGAAACTGTTATTACTTGGATTCATACCCAATAGAAAAATATGTTTTGGAAAAGTGCGTTTTAATGGGTGTAATGAAAAATATTATTAAGTAAAAGAATTTTAAAAATGTATATTTTCTATATTTATTCAATTATTCAATCTTTAAAAAGTGTTGCTAAGGCCAATAACTCCTCCTAAGGTATCTTTATTCTTGCATTTGCTTTATTGTACTCCTAATGTAAAATGGTTTTCCTGATATTCAAAATTCAAACATATCTATAAAGTAGCAATTATTTTGGAACTTTCAGCATCAGAATTATGTATTTGAACCAGTTTTTACATAATTTTTGTAATACCGTTTGCTTAAAATGTAGGATTTCTTTGTGTTGACATATAGCTCTATTTATTAATGTCTCCCATCTCAAAAAATATGGCAACCTATACATTTTTGCAATTATAAGTTAATTTAAAATGTATTCAGTGAAAACTATTAATGGTTTTTCTACTTTGAACCATTAAAATTGTGAGGGTAGAAATACCTTAAATTTCTTAAAGCTATAAGTGCTGGCTTCATTTCCGGATCCAAACTTGACGTATTTAATTGTGTTAATTAAATATTAGGCAACCATAGGCGCTCCCTATCTAATTATGTGAATGACGAAATAATGGGTCTATTTACAATGTAGATATATCCCTCTATTACTTTTTTGTTCTTCTAGTGTGTCTTCCAGCTGATTCAATCCGAAAGAGCATGCTCTACGTATGAACAATTTCCAAAACAAGGCAAGCTACTGACAAACAAGTTGATGAAACAAGGATTTAAACGGTCATCATTTCGCAAGTTTTATGGTCGATACAATGACCTTGTCAGCAAATACAACCTATCATTAAGTCAAATACTGACTGACGTTTTTATACTTATTGTAAGGCTATTATTTACACAGTGAATTGTCTACGCATTTTTCCGTTTTTTTCCGATCACGACAAAAAGCAAACGTCGGGTGTGACCTGTCGGCAGGGGAAGTTCACTCCTCCATGGCACCTGATCCCACCTCTAATATTTTGGAGGTCTGTGTTTGCTCTCTATTTATATTGTTTAAATGGACTTTGGGTTTGAATACAGTTCATTATCTCCATATTTTATTTTAAATCAGTCTGTGTTTTTATAGCATACCCTCCCATACTTTGGCCTCTATCTCTCTTCCTCCATGACAGATTTTATTGTATAGAGAGGTAGACTTATATTGACTTATTATTTCGTAATTTGCAAAATTAGATGTTGAGCACCTAAGCAAGTGCCTTAACTGAGCTTTGTGATACATGGGTCTCTTATATTAATTATCTTTGGTCATTTTAGGGGACTTAACACTCACCTTCTGAACTTCATTAAATAAGTAGATCAATAGAAACATATTTATCCAGTAAATAGATGAAAAGGAAAGGTAACAACTGTATGAATAATGCAATAACACTACAGTAGTAGACATTTCCGTTAAATTCTACATCAAATATAAAGATCAATAAAGCTAAATTAAAAAGCAGCATGACAAATCTCGAAACAAACTTAATGCAAATATTAATTTCTTGTATATAAAAGTCAGTCTACAATTTATTTACTGTTTCATTCAATGCAACGCTAAATGAAAATCATTGCACCTTTGAAGTTGCTACAGCAACACCTTTTGCCACCAGCTGGGAGCCGTCAGACAGCAATGCAGGCCAAACAATATAATTAAAATTTTCCAGTTCTTCATCAAAATAATCATACTTGACAGTATCAAAGTCTGAAAATCGAACAACGCTGTTGTCAAGATAGACTTGATCTGTCTGGGTCGTAATTTTCCAGGCTACTTGAATACATTTGTTTGCGTATGTCCTTATCACAGTGCTGGATTTCAGGGCTGGTCTAAGATTCAGAATTTCCATAATACCTGGAATTATTTTCTAAAAAAGAAGAAATAAATAAAAGTTTAAGGACAACCAAGAGGCACAATCATAGTGCTTGTTTCATAATTTCAAAACAGACGTAATTCTTGTCAATGACAGGATCGTCTCTTCTCGGCTTTCTTTGATTAGGATTGTTCATTCTCAGTTTTCATTATTCTCTCTGTTTCTATTTCCCTATAAAGTGTTACTATTCATTCACACATTTTCTTATTTCTTTACTCAAAGTTGATCCGACTTTTGGTATGGGATACAAAGGTATTATATTATGAAAATTGTTCTTTTGTAAATTCATCAATTTTGTTGTTTTTCTTTCAGTCGTTTTTCTTTCTCTTATCTATCGTCAACGGGGTCATTTTCGGCTAAACTTGTCATGAAACATACTTGGGTGGCTGGAATGAATTTAGATTACTTCAACTGGAAGGCCCACCTCTTCTTAAGGGAAGATGATTATGAAATAATGAAGGAAATGGTGTGGGCATTTGACATTTAATCAACATTAATCTTAAGGCAAAAAACTTTTAAAAGACAAAACTTTAAGGGTTTAAGCACGTTTCTAAATTTCTGGAAATGTAAAATGTTAAGACAACAAACAATGTCCAGTACACAAAACAAATCATGAACAGGGCAAAAACTCGAACCCCTGGAAACACCAGAAGTGGGATCAGGTGCCTAGGAGGAGTAAACGTCCTCTGTTGACCGGTCACATACGCTGTGAACCCTATGTATAGTATATAAAAGCAATAAACTTTGTAACATTTACAAAATTTAAAAATCAGTTTAATTTTTAATTAGCTTATACATATGTAAACAGTGTGAATAGGGTGGTAACACGCCTAACTTAACTTAGGGTATTCGCAGTCAAAGATAGCGGATCACGTGGTACTGTGACGTAATAGGTGTTAATAAATAGATCGAGAAAACATCGTCATATAGATAAAAATATTATATCGACGATATTTCTTGGTAATGAAAGTTCAACTTTCTATGGTTTAACCTCCATCAGTGAAAAATTACCGAGAAAATTCGCAAATCGATAAGAAGCGAGGAAATTGAAGACGAAGACGGTGACACTCCGGGAAATAGACTGAATGGAACGATTAATTTTGTTACGTTTAATCTTTGTTGGTACAACAAGTAATGAGCAATTTAGCAGTCTTAATTCAATATTTGATTTCAATAATTGATATATTCAAATAAATTCTATACATCCTTCACTTGTTTCAGTAGTTAAATATTATTCAAAAGTTAAGTTTCACTTCTTAAGTAGCGCTGTGCGCAATTTACAAATGTCATACTAATTCTGTGCAACTTCTCATAATTAGTGCACGTCCTCGATTTTGCCAAAAATGTTGCCTCCCCCGCCCTTTGTGTCCTTTGGAAATGTGGCTAGAAAACTCTTCCCTTATCCCTCCTTGTGCATGATTGCGTATCCAAACGCCACGCAATATATCATACTAACTGGCGATAATCCAATTATCACCAATGCGTTTGCTAACGGATTTCATAGACACAATAATTAACCCCATTTGCAATCACAATTGTTTTATATACCTTTGACGTCAGAGAGAGAACACGCAAGAACGCTCATTAAAATAGTATATTAAGAAATTCAAACTTTAATCCCCCAGGGATCAAAAATGTTTTTTTTAATCAAATAAATTTAAATATAGATAATTTTAAAAGCATTTCAGCTTTGTTACATTAACAAGGTTTGAATCTTGATATAAGTCTCCCTTGGAGTTAAGTCCATGTTTCCTCAGATCAAGGTCCCATGCGTAGTTTTGGACCACAATGAGTCATTGTTTGTCATAGAAATACAGTTAAATTATTTAGCAAGATTAGAAGGGTACAATTAGACATATTAAAGTATAACCCCATGTAGTGATGACTGAAGATTGTGCCAAGGACAGAGGACATAATAGTGATCAGGTTTTGATACAGAAATACAAATGCATATAGGAGAGATATTTCAAAATCTTCTTTTAAAAATCCTGAGCTTAAATCAATTATATGAACATGCAAACATTCCCATCTAGTGCAAATCTGTTTTAGATAAGGCCCTTTGGGCTAAAAAGGGTTCACAAAAAACGGTCAAATATTTACACTGGAATATAACAACAAAAGTATCTTCTTCTCAAGAGCAGAAGGTTCACAGTTAAGTACACTGGTTCGCATGTATCCCAGTGTAGTATTCAATGTTTGTTCAAATCGTTGTCCCCAGGAATAGGGTTGGTCCACAAAAGGGGTTCAGAGTTTTACAAAGATTCCTACACAAAGTTATATGAAAACAGCAAGGGCTACAGTTTGTAAGCTTAACCTAAACAAGAGAGTCATGGGCCACAATGCTCACCTGAGTATGGCCCTTCTTGTTCCTTTATCCTACATACTACTATGTAAAACTTTGATCGCCCATAGGGGGTATGATTTGGGAAAAAAAAATATGTATTACACTACCTGATGATGCTTAAACATAAATATGATTTATCATGGACTTGCTCTTCTAAGAGAACAGAATTTTCCTATGCAATCATATGTAAAACTTTAATCGCCCATAGTGGCCCCACCCTACCCCTGGGGGTCATGATTTGAACAAATTTAAATATATGTATACACTACCTGTGGATGCTTCCATATAAATATGACTGATCTTGTCTGTACTGTTCTTGATAAAAAGATTTTAAAAGATTTTTCCTATTTATAACCATTTAAAACTTTGATCGCCCATAGTGGCCCAACCTTACCCCCTGGGGTCATGATTTGAACAAATGTAAATCTACAATGTGTCAGGAAGCTTTCACATGAGTTTAATTCTTTTCTGTCCCACTGGCTCTTGAGAAGAGGATTTTTGAATGACCCCACCCATTTTTTTTCTATTTCTTAATTACCCCCCCCCCCTTGTAAGAGGGTGTGGCCCTTCATTTGAACAAATTTGAATCCCCAAGATACTCTGTGCTAAGTTTGGTTGAAACTGGTCCAGTGGTTCTGGAGAAGAGGAAATTTAAAAAAAATATGACAACGACGCCAACGACAGAAAAAATTTGGTTGGAAAAACTCAATTGAGCCTTCGGCTCAGGTGAGCTAAATTTGTCATTTAAGGAACTTCCATCCCCCTGTGATTTCATAAGTTTTTGCAGAAACTGTTATTACTTGGATTCATACCCAATAGAAAAATATGTTTTGGAAAAGTGCGTTTTAATGGGTGTAATGAAAAATATTATTAAGTAAAAGAATTTTAAAAATGTATATTTTCTATATTTATTCAATTATTCAATCTTTAAAAAGTGTTGCTAAGGCCAATAACTCCTCCTAAGGTATCTTTATTCTTGCATTTGCTTTATTGTACTCCTAATGTAAAATGGTTTTCCTGATATTCAAAATTCAAACATATCTATAAAGTAGCAATTATTTTGGAACTTTCAGCATCAGAATTATGTATTTGAACCAGTTTTTACATAATTTTTGTAATACCGTTTGCTTAAAATGTAGGATTTCTTTGTGTTGACATATAGCTCTATTTATTAATGTCTCCCATCTCAAAAAATATGGCAACCTATACATTTTTGCAATTATAAGTTAATTTAAAATGTATTCAGTGAAAACTATTAATGGTTTTTCTACTTTGAACCATTAAAATTGTGAGGGTAGAAATACCTTAAATTTCTTAAAGCTATAAGTGCTGGCTTCATTTCCGGATCCAAACTTGACGTATTTAATTGTGTTAATTAAATATTAGGCAACCATAGGCGCTCCCTATCTAATTATGTGAATGACGAAATAATGGGTCTATTTACAATGTAGATATATCCCTCTATTACTTTTTTGTTCTTCTAGTGTGTCTTCCAGCTGATTCAATCCGAAAGAGCATGCTCTACGTATGAACAATTTCCAAAACAAGGCAAGCTACTGACAAACAAGTTGATGAAACAAGGATTTAAACGGTCATCATTTCGCAAGTTTTATGGTCGATACAATGACCTTGTCAGCAAATACAACCTATCATTAAGTCAAATACTGACTGACGTTTTTATACTTATTGTAAGGCTATTATTTACACAGTGAATTGTCTACGCATTTTTCCGTTTTTTTTCCGATCACGACAAAAAGCAAACGTCGGGTGTGACCTGTCGGCAGGGGATGTTCACTCCTCCATGGCACCTGATCCCACCTCTAATATTTTGGAGGTCTGTGTTTGCTCTCTATTTATATTGTTTAAATGGACTTTGGGTTTGAATACAGTTCATTATCTCCATATTTTATTTTAAATCAGTCTGTGTTTTTATAGCATACCCTCCCATACTTTGGCCTCTATCTCTCTTCCTCCATGACAGATTTTATTGTATAGAGAGGTAGACTTATATTGACTTATTATTTCGTAATTTGCAAAATTAGATGTTGAGCACCTAAGCAAGTGCCTTAACTGAGCTTTGTGATACATGGGTCTCTTATATTAATTATCTTTGGTCATTTTAGGGGACTTAACACTCACCTTCTGAACTTCAGGGAGAAGCTGATAACAGATTTGACGTTGGAATAGTGCAGCATCTTTGTACAAAGGATCAGAACAGCTGGAACTATGCGGCGTCTGAAATACACAAATATTTTCACCATGAAACGTAAATTGGGTAAAAAAAACTAGTACTTTTATCAATCTTATTTTTTTAAATGTGTTTGTAGAATGGGAAATACAATAAATTATTGTTTTGGTTCCACTGCTATTGAATGTTGTTTCGTCTCAGAACAGGTAATATGTGTATGAACTTCTAAATAAATCTTATAATGGCGACAAGAGGTTTTCGAAGTACTATGATTTTTGACCGGGTGACATTGATCTTGAAGTTTGATTTAATTTTCAAAATTTTAACATTGGTAATAACTTTTGAATGAGAGAAGATAGGGGCATTCATATTTGACATGTACATTACTTGTAACAAGACCTTTCAGAACGTACTATGGGTTTTAATCCCATTACCTTGACCTCAAAATTAGACCTTATTTGAAAAAAAAAATTAACATTGGTGATAACTTTTGAATAAGAGAAGATTGTCTTTTATATTCGACACGTGCATTACCTGTTTCAAGTCTTTTCCTAATGTACTCTAATTTTTGACATCCATAACCTTAAACCTTTAACCTTATAAAAGTTTGAACTACAGTCTTTTTCAATTTCCTACATTGGTAATAACTTTTGAATAAGCAAAAATAGGGCTTTCATATTTTACATGTGAATTACCTATGACAAACCTTTCAAAAAGGCCTATCATTTTTGACTTCATGACCTTGACTTAGAAGTTTGACCAACTTATCAAACATTTTAATTTTTGTCATAACTTTTGCTCCAGAAGAGACAGAGTTTCCATATTTTGGTCCACAAGTGCATTACTTGTGACAAGTTCTTTCGAATTTTGATGATATTTGACCTCAGGATCTTAATCCTGATGTTTGATGCAGTTTTGATAAGCTTTAATCTATGTCGTAACTTTTATTAATTCAAACGTTTATATCTTTTTTGTATGATGGACAGACAAAACAGGAAACGCAAACAAGACCGTTGCAATATGCCATAAATAAATGCATCCCAATCATTAAAACACAAAAAGTGGGTGACCAAACTTTTCTGAATTTGCTTGTTTGATATATATGTACCTCCTTTCCGCGATTTTTCAATGGCCACGGGTATGTAGTGCTTAACTGTATTTTCTCTATTCTCTCAAAGAATTCTAATCAGTACTGTACATGGCCGTAGGAACCGGGGGGGGGGGGGGGGGAATGCACATATATATATATATATATATATATATATATATATATATATATATATATATATATATATATATATATATACACAGGGCTTTGATTAACAATTCTGCCCGGAGATGAATACGAAAGCTGTTCGAAAATTCACGAACAATGTCAGTTTTCGTTAATTTGTTTTCAAGAAATGCAAGATCAGCTTATTATTATATGTAAAAATAATTTTGTTGATGTGTGAATTTTCATTCCATGTGATTAAAAATCAACGCTTTGTTACCATGGAGCATGCTGACTTCAAAAACATAATGGCATGAGTTTCCCAAATATGTACTCTTCCTTTACGTTTTACACACAGTCTGCGCCATATGCACTCGTTTAAAACGTTTTTGTACCACTTGACAATTAGTTTGTTAACAATTGTTCCAAAAGCATAAGGTCGCATGTAAATGGTTTCATTTACTCTGCTTTCACAAGATCCGCAACAGCGAAGCATCCGTCTCATTCAATGACGTTACATATAACGCTTCTGATTAGCTTTTTTCACTTGATTGATACAAAGTATCTTTTACTTAAAAACCTTTATTTATTTTACACACATACATGGAATCTTTCCTGTCTTTTCCAGAATTTTCACAGTTAATGGTGGACTTTTCACTAAAGCAACACAAAATTGTATCGGTAGTTGCCTATTGTGGCATGACCCGGCGAGTTTTCCTTTGAAGTAAGCCGTATAATAACTGCGATACAGAACACTTTTAGTGGGCGTTTCTTATGCAAATGAGCAGAAACTGTACTGTATCTGAAAACAAGGTTAGTTTTTTAAAAAAAAGCTGAGAGTCAGCCACTGGAATACAGAAAGTTTCTTTCTTGTTTTGTGATGGTATATGATTTGTTGTGTTCCTTAAAAGTCAATGTAATCTAAGTTAAAATTCGCCTAATAGTTTTCTTATTCGCAACATATATTTACTGTAAATAATAAACAATAAAGCATAAAATAAATTTTAGTTAGATTACATCATGATCATTATGATTACCTCCAATTAATTTCTCTTGGGCGCGGACACCCGAGAAAGTTCGGCTCAGAAATGAACAAAGCCACTAAGATCCCAATCATTGAACGTTGATGAATGAATATATTTTCAGTTTTACTGTTAAATTCTTTAAATGATATAGATTATGATGCTTAGAAGGAAGGTAGACTTTGAGTTAGACTGTTATAATTATTATTAGATAAAAGTTTTTAATCGTGCAGGTTCGAGGCAATGCATGATTGGGGAGGGGGGGGGGGTGTATACTGCATATATAGTTCAATCAATTTCTAAATTTAAGCATTTATTTTGGTGTTATTAGGAAAGGAAAAAAAATTAAAAATATTCAAGAAAAATTCAAATTATTTTTATACATGCAGTACGTATACCCTAAAATGTAACTGATAATGTCTACCATCAAAGCAAAACTAGATTAACATACTGGATTCCATCTTGCTCACTCTCTCTAATGGGGGGGGGGGGGGGTCTGTCTATAAATCCGCGCAGTTTCTCTCAACTATCGCAGTTCTACTGTGGTCAGTTTCTCACCTGTGGGCGCGGTTCACGTGCACAAGCGGCATGCACTTAAACGGCTTTCATCATGCAAATAATAATTTACTGTCTTACAATGGTCTTCTGATGTTTTCATAACTTTCATCATTAAAGTGAAAAGAGATTCTTTTTTCACTGTTGTGGGACCTTTGTGGAAAGTGGATTAATGTGTGAATTCCAACCCGTATATGTCCTATGCAAGGTATTGATCGAGGGAGTCTTGCATCAGGCATCCAGAGGAATACTCACAAATCCTCGAACTTGCAACGACGATTGAGGGTATCAAGTGTTTAATGTGCTCTACATATAAACTTCTCATCTTCTACATGTATAAGAAGCACTGAAATATTTTCAAAGTATCTTATTTCCCACTTAGAACAAACAATGTCTTTAAATTTTCGTCGAGAATGACGAAGAACAATGCAGTCTATAAATAGATCAAGGTCGTATCTTTGTTCAGAGAGTGCGAAAAGAATCACGCCCTTTGGTTGGAGCAAATAGTAAGAGTTTTTTTAGAACAAGTCGTGTACATCTTTTTCCCAGAATTCCAAATTACGCAAGCGCACTTGCAGTTTCATCCCACCGTAACTAGTCAGCCCGTGGGCTGACTAAATATCAACGATACAGTACGGTTTATTTTTAGCGATGACGGAAAACTGAATCCGTTTCTTAAATGATATAGACATAAGCATGATAGCGCTGTCAGTATTTATTCAAAATTTGAGATGAATTAAGAATAGAATTTTACAACGTAAAGTTACCAGTGGCGGATTAAAAAATTTTAGAAACGAGGGAGTGGGGCAGTACACAAATGGTTTTCACCGAAAAAAAAAATGTCCAATGGAAAATCGGGAGTTTCGTGGGGGGGGGGGGGGGGGGGGGTAGATTCATAATCAGGCCTGGCACTATATGTGCGTGATCGTTTTGTGTTGATATATTAAAAGTGTATAAAAGTTTAGCAAACATAATTTACGAAAGCCAAAACAGAAAAAAAAATTGGAAAGGGGGGGGGGGTACCGTCGCAAGCGAGTGAGTGCTGGATCTGCCTTTGGTTCCTCTACATTTTGTTTCAAACATGAAGGTAATATGCCCCCCCCCCCTTTCTTACATCTGTTTATTTCGATTTGGAGCCAAGAATTTTTTTTATACACATGTATGACGACCGGTCGATGACATTGTCGGACATTTCTCTCAGAATACGACCTCCCCGACACATTTTTGCTTCAAATACATTTCCATATATGATTCTTATGTATCAACATGTTTTGCACCAAATTCGTAGCTTAGATTTTAGATTAAAAGTCAGCAAGAGCTAAATAGAAAGGAAAAAAACCTAAGCAATCAAATATAAATCAATTTTTGGGAAAACACATTATATAATGCATCTCATAATTATATATAATTATTTAAATTGATAGATACCTGCACGTACACCTCACTCGGCATTTCAGTTGTGATTGCTAAAAATGGGGTACTAAATCAACTTTCTGCAAAATCATCTGATTGGTTGAGAGATATATACCCAAATACACATGTAAATTAGCGAGGTCATAAGAAAGGTCATGTCACAAATCATTTAGAATACTGTATCGGAGATACGGGGCGGGGCCCGGCTCGAGCTATCGCTCTCGCCTTAAGCCGCGCCCTGTATCTCCGATACAGTAGGAAACTCGTACTCTAAATATAACTTACATCTTTTTTTCTTAAAGAAGCTAAATATTGAGTCACATTTTGGCTAATTATATAATGCAAGCAATTTTAATTTGTTCAGTGTCTTGTTCGTAAATTTGACCTGCTTCGTGACGGAACCCATTTTTGCATTTTTAAATTCTAAATAAGTTTGAACTACATCATATTATATTTGAAATTTATTATTCAAATCATTCTTATTTATTGTTGAAACATGTCCACCAAATTTGGATAATATATGAGTAAAAGTTAAAGAAAAAGAGTAAATGTAAAAATATAATGCTAATTTTTCGAAAAACCCTCTTATGTAATGTGAAATTAACTTTTCATACATACTGTGCTGAAAAAAAATATGCATAACCCACGTAAGCAGGTTACGAAATATTTCATACATAGGTGGTAATTAAAAATCGGTTCTAATTAGTTCAGTGTACATGGATTGGTTAATGGAAGTGGTTTTCATAAGAAATAATGAGTTAATTATTGTGAATATTATTTCCTGTTTTTCTCCTTTAAAGTTGAAGAACATTCTGGATCCTTGAAACTTTAAAAGTACTAATAATAATTTCAGGGAGGTGGATTACGAAATCAGTTTGAAATTTCCTACAAGTTCAATTAATTTTGTGTTTTTCTAAGTTTTCGTGGGTACATGTATATGATTTAATACATATATATCATCGAAAAAGTAGAAGTAAACACTTCATGGCCATATGCATATAAACAGTTTTATAGCAATAAATATCTCATTTGATTGTATATAGTATAATGTTTGTAGACACTGAACACTTTTAATAAATCCTTAAAGTATCCACCGTTTATGAAATAAGTTCAAGATTCTGAAAAAGATATTAGCCATTTTTTGCATGTAATATCTTTGGCTCTTTTTAACGAGCTAAACATTTATTTTAACAACAAAAAGTTTTGGTTAGTCTGGACCATCTTCGCTAGCCAAGGGTTTCTGATACGCTACTCTCCTCATAAGCCCTTGGCATACGGTGTTAAAAAAAAGTTGGGATTTTTTTCTCAAGTTGTGATTGGAGTTGATCGACATCGTTCGACCAATCAGCAATTGTTTTTTGTAAATGACGATATTTGCGTTCGGGATATATCTTGACTCTTTAATATCGGTAATGTAAAACGCAAGTAAACAATGATCCGTAAGTTAACGTGCCATTCTATGAATAGCTATATGGTGTCATCCAATATCTAAAGCTACGTGCAAAATATGTGATTAAGAATCTATACTGAAGATGTAGATTTGCATTTTTACATGTTTAACAAATTAACATTTGTTAACATTTATTCTTGTTAATTATTCTTTAAAAACAATTTTTTTTTTAAATATGCTTTTTATTTCTGTCGATGATGCAATCTGCGTACCTGGTAAGAATCATGATCACGTGACAAAAACAATCCCGTCTTTTGTCAGCACCGTATGCCAAGGGTTTATGAGGAGAGTAGCGTATCAGAAACCCTTGGTTAGCGAAGATGAGTCTGGACTAGTTTGAGACTCATTTACCATCAATTTTTTTAGGCCCCCATAATCGAAGATATGTCACCGGTGTATTCCTTGTGACAAGACTTTTCCTTGGGTATCAACATGCTTGACCTCTTGGTCTTGACCTTGGAGTTTGACCCATTTTTTGCCAAATTATACCAAACTTTAACCTTGGTCATAACTTTGAACAGTTGGAGCCAGGGCTTTCTTACTTCACATGTGTATTTTTTGTGACAAGGCCTCTCCTGCATCATTAATTTCGAACCTTTGACCTTGACCTTGGAATTTTACTTAATTTTGAAAAACTTAAACGTTGACGTAATTTTTAAATGGTTAGTGCTACGGCTTTCATATTTCACAGGTGTATTCCATGTGACAAGACCTTATTTTGGGTATCAACAGTTTTGACCTTTTTCCTTGACCTTGGAGTTTGATTTACTTTTGAAAGACTTTAATCTTGGCCATAACTTTTGAATCGTTTGTGCAAGAGCTTTCATATTTCACGTGTTTATTTCTTGTGACAAGACCTTCCTTTGGGTACCATTAATTTTGACCTTTTGACATTGACCTTGGAGTTTGACCTGCTTTTGAAAAACTCTAATCCTGGCCATAACTATTGAACGGTTGTTGCTAGGGCTTTCATAGTTCACAGGTGTATTCCTCATGACAAGACCTTTCTTTGGGTACCAACTTTAATCTTTGCCATAAATATTCACCATCTGAATTCTTTGATTATTACCCTGACATTTACTGTGACTAGGCTTTGTTTTGATTGTTGTTGTTGCATGCTTGTGGAAGTCTGAGGTGGTGTCTTTGTGGAGGTCTGTTGTGGCATCTTTGTGGAAGTCTGAGGTGGTGTACTGGATGTCATTACAGAGGAAGCCTGTAGGATCCTTGACAACTGACTGTCTGCAACATCTCTACATTGGCTGAAGGACAGCTGCAAAAAATACAAAGAATTTAAGGAAGAGTGGCATACTTTCATTTATTAACTCATCTGAGTAAAGTAACTACCGGTACGCCTCCTCCCTGACCAAGTCAATTTCTGTATCCAGTTGCTGTTTGTCTCTTTGTATAACTTTTTCTAACGTTTTTAAGTTCTTGGAACCAAAAGACAAATTTTCTACAAAACTTACCACTGAGCACAGATGTCTGAAAGATTTGATTATCATGGGGCAGGTAGAGGGGCTGGAATGTTTAAAAAGTGAAAGAAGGTTGGCAGTTTATTTAGCTTCTCAGGTCTCAAAATTAAATCAGCAGACTTCGAAACCAAACGAAAGCTTTGCAAAGCATCCTTTCAGAAGTTGATTCAATTGTGTATATATTGAGGTTCATTTTATAGCTGGAATATGAGTATGTATATTGGAGAGGTCATCAATTAAACAGTAACTTCAGAAGTGTAGCTCCCTGGGAAAGTTGATTTGGAATGAAATACCAGAGTTATTTCTGATATATCTGTATGGATTTTCTTTCCCAGAAAGACAGAGTTCTGAAGCTATTTAAAGTATTGAGAATGAATTGTTTTATAGTTTTATCAATAATTGAACTTGACTTTGAAAACTAGATTTAACTTACAAATCACAGTCAGAGTCAATACGGATCTTAAAATGAACCAAAAAATTTACTTGTAGACTAGATAAGTATCAAACCAAGAACACAAAATGCATAATATGTATATCAAGTGAGGCTTCTTGTGAGATAAATCTGAAGCAAATTGTGTGAGTATCATTACATTGGTTTTTAATTAAAGATTCTTATATGAATAATTACATTGTATACTAGTAAAATTCTTTTTTTTTATTTGTTAAATTAAAGCTATCCCTAACACCCACTGTTTTAAGTGTTTTATTGCAAATTACACCACTGAAATTACTTCCAGTGGTTTTACTTCATAAAGTTGGTATTTTTTCAAATGAGATCAGTATTTTTTAAGTCTTGTTTTTGAGATTTATCTCACTGGAGGTATTAAAGGTTTCTGTCTATTGGTTGGATCGAACTCAAAATAATTCCTTAAATATATCACAATGAACAAAAATTACAAGCAGTGTGAAATACATTGTACCGACGTCATGCAGATACTGTTATGAGAGATTTCCGTATATTACGTATTGATTATTTCATTCCAATGATGTCATACCTATACTTCACAAAGTAAAAAAAAAGATGTTGCTTTTTATCCCCTTATCATAAGGGAGGGGGAGTCCAGGATATGCTTGACCCCCTAAAATCTCCCACTGCTAACATTGTAAACTGTTTTGGTCAGGGTCATGACACACCCTCAGGTAATAAGCAATCTTTGTGTAAAATAGAAACTAACCAATATTAACCATAAGAAGGATATGGACCAGACACGAATTATGAATTTTTTCTTTCAGTGACCTTGAACTTGCCAAAATGACCTTGAGTCAAGGTCATGACACATTCTTAGGTCATGAACAATCTTTGTTTAAAATGGTATTCACTAAGTTTATCCATAAGAAAGATATGGACCAGACACAAATTATGAACTTTTTCTTTCAGTGACCTTGAACATGGCCAAATGATCTTGAGTCAAGGTAATGACACACCCTCAGGTCATGAGCAATGTGTGTGCAAAATAGATACTCACTAATTTTATCCATAAGAAAGATATGGACCGGACACAAATTATGAACTTTTTCTTTCAGTGACCTTGAACTTGTCCAAATGACCTTGGGTCAAGATCATGACACACCCTCATGTCATGAACAATCTTTGTGTAAAATGGGAACTCACCAAGTTTATTCATTAGAAAGATATGGACTGGACATGAATTATGAATTTTTTCTTTCAGTGACATTGATCTTGCCCAAATGACTTTGGATCAAGGTCATGACACATTCTTAGGTCATGAATAATCTTTGTTTAAAATGGTATTCACCAAGTTTATCCATAAGAAAGATATGGACCAGACACAAATTATGAACTTTTTCTTTCAGTGACCTTGAACATGGCCAAATGATCTTGAGTCAAGGTAATGACACACCCTCAGGTCATGAGCAATCTGTGTGTAAAATAGATACTCACTCATTTTATCCATAAGAAAGATATGGACCGGACACAAATTATGAACTTTTTCTTTCAGTGACCTTGAACTTGTCCAAATGACCTTGAGTCAAGATCATGACACACCCTCATGTCATGAACAATCTTTGTGTAAAATGGGAACTCACCAAGTTTATTCATTAGAAAGATATGGACTGGACACGAATTACGAATTTTTTCTTTCAGTGACATTGATCTTGCCCAAATGACTTTGGATCAAGGTCATGACACACCCTCAGGTCATGAATAATCTTTGTTTAAAATGGTATTCACCAAGTTTATCCATAAGAAAGATATGGACCAGACACAAATTATGAACTTTTTCTTTCAGTGACCTTGAACATGGCCAAATGATCTTGAGTCAAGGTAATGACACACCCTCAGGTCATGAGCAATCTGTGTGTAAAATAGATACTCACTAATTTTATCCATAAGAAAGATATGGACCGGACACAAATTATGAACTTTTTCTTTCAGTGACCTTGAACATGTGTAAATGACCTTGGGTCAAGATCATGACACACCCTCATGTCATGAACAATCTTTGTGTAAAATGGGAACTCAACAAGTTTATTCATTAGAAAGATATGGACTGGACACGAATTATGAATTTTTTCTTTCAGTGACATTGATCTTGCCCAAATGACTTTGGATCAAGGTCATGACACACCCTCAGGTCATGAACAATCTTTGTTCAAAATGGTATTCACCAAGTTTATCCATAAGATGGACCGGACACGAATTATGATTTTTTTCTTTCAGTGACCTTAAACTTGCCCAAATGACCTTGGGTCAAAGTCATGACACATGCTCAGGTCATAAGCAATGTATGTGTAAAATGGGAACTCACCAAGTTTATCCATAAGAAGGATATGGACCAGACACAAATTATTAACTTTTTCTCTCAGTGACCTTAAACTGGCTCGAATGACTTTGGATCAAGGTTATGACACAATCTCAGGTCATGAACAATCTTTGTGTGAAGTAGTAGATTCTAGTGTTCCTCCTTAATAAAGATATGGACTTGACACATTTGCACAGACAGACAAATGGACAGCTAGACAGACAGATGGACAGACGGACAAGGTGATTCCTATATACCTACCAAACTTTGTTAGCGGGGGGTATAAGAAGGCAATATAGTGACTGCTCAAACCCATTATATTTTTCTTTTATGTAATAAAATATTAAAGTACAGTGTATATAATTACATATATAGTTTGGCCAATGAAGAATCTATTACATGTACTGCATGTTATCACTCATTAAGGTGGTATGGGATACCAAACGAAACTTCTCCTACATATTTATGTACCCAAATTAGAAGGATTTGAAATACCCCCACCTTTCAGTATATGAAAGTGTAATTTTAATAATTTTTTTATTATATTAATGAGAAATACAAAAACGATTTTTTTTCTTGCATAATTCTTTTTTCATAAGCTTAATATTATAGGCAGGTGTTTGCTAATATAAAGTGTTTATAAAAACAAAAATGACAAGAAATATGTCTTAGTATTTTTTTAATTTTCAACAAAAATAAGAGTAAAAAACTGGGAAAACTTTATTTCGTGAAAACAGACGGATAACATTTCATGAAAGTCTACAATAAGAATGTATCTTAATATGTTAGCAAAGTGAAATAAACAAATTGAAAATATATATATAAATGGAAAATATAAAATGCATTTAAAATTTTTTGAATTAAAAGATCCGAGCGGAAGAGTTATCCTTCTTTATTTTCCAAGGGTTGAAAAAACCTGGGTGCTATTTTAGAAATGATGAGCATTTTTTCCCAACCATAGAAAAATCGCACTTTGTAGTTTTCAACTTTGAGCGGTTTTGAAAACAATGCATGGACAATCGCTTTCCAGGACGTGTCTTGTTCAGAGCAATTGCATTCATCTGAACGTTTTGGGACTATATACAACAGCTAGCTGATTTGTGACCAAACAGTTACTTCTTGAATTAAATAACAAAAAAAAAGTCCAGCTCTGGTTAACGTGATAATTGATTGGTGATAATTCAGCACAATGTGAAGTAATCGCACTTATCCATGCCTCACCGCACACAAGGTGCTGTACAGTTACTCAAACAATTGAAATACAGCTTTTGCTTAAAAGTGTTCAAAAGCAGCAATGTTGAAACTACCTTTTACAGGGGTTTGCTTTTTTAAATGTCCGTTGTACAATTATAAGTAAATTTATATACTTGCGATTTTTTTTTGGTCTGTTTTTACTTAAAATGCCGACTTGTGAGAACTTGCATTGAAATAGGCTTCAGAGTGTTCTTTTCAACGGTGTATCTACAAATTTTGACCCGGTAATAAGCACTCATGCAAATCAAAACAATACTTCAAACGGAAATACGTCATAACGTGGAGGTATCCCATACTACCTTAATTGCTACAGAGGATGTATGTTTGAAGTAGCATTCTACACCATAAACAGAGCTGTTATGATAAACATGATTGGTTCATTATTGAATATTCCTAAATTGTAATCCTAAATTACAAACAAAACTATTACAAGATAATTACATAAATGGTTGTTTCTTATTTAATCCAGGTTATATAAATTGTTGTTTCATCTCAAACCATTAACAAAGCTACATGTATCATTATAAAAACTTCATTTCATAATGGAGTTGATCTTTATAAATATTATGATATAAATTGTTATTGCAAAATTGAATCTCAAATATGTTTTTACAAATTTGAAAATTTTTGTGTTTATTGTAAGTTTAAATATTGATTCAAAGATATATATGTTTCATGATATCAACAAGTTATGGAGTTTAACTTCAAGACTGCATGAGGTCTAATAAATTTAGAAAATCTTCCTTTTAATTTCCTTAATTTTGTTTGCAAAAATAAAAGACAAAAGTATTTTGATTTCATGGGAAAAGGAAAACAGCATAATCTGAAGAACAAATAGTTTTAGTTTTATGGATTTGATTCATAGTGTTTATAACTTGAAATCATCAAATTTGAATATTTCTGCAATAGCTACAAATGTAATGGTCTGATCAGTGCTCTAAATCATTTTACTGAAAACTTTAACCTTCACCATTAGCTGCCATATGTGGGCTTCAGTGTTTCACAAACACATCTTATTGTTAATAGTTCTTGGATTTTCTTTGATGAAATGTGTCATTTTTGAATATCTCTTAATTTTTATGCCCCCATAATAGAAGATTTGGGGGCAAATAGATCTTGCTCTGTCCGTTAAGCTGTATGTCTGTCTGTTTGCCGCAAAAACTTTAACCTTGGTCATAACTTTTGATTGCATGGTAAGAGCTAGGGCTGTCATATTTTGCATGTATATTTCTTGTGAAAAGACCTTTCTTTGGGTACTAATTATTTGACCTCTTAATCTTGACCTTGGAGTTTGATCCACTTTTGCAAAATTTGACAAAACTTTAACCTTGGCCATTACTTTTGAATAGTTGGTGAGAGGGCTTTCATATTTCACATGGGTATTTCATATGACAATACTTTCCCTTGGGTACCAACAATTTTGACCTTGACCTTAGAGTTTGACCTACTTTTGAAAAACTTTAACCTTGGCCATAACATTTGAATGGTTGGTGCTGGGCTTTAATATGTTACATGCATATTCCTTGAGACAAGACCTTTCCTTGGGTATGAATATTTTTTACCTCATTCTTGGAGTTTGACCTACTTTTTAAAAACTTTACTCAGTAATATCTTTTGAATGGTTGGTGCTAGGGCTTTTATATTTCACTTGTGTATTTTTTGTGACAAGACTTTTCATTAGGTACCAACAACTTTGAACTTTTTTGACCTTTGAGTTTCACCTTCTATTGGAAAACTTCAACCTTGACCATAATTTCTTAATGGTTTCTGCAAGGGTGTATTCCATGTGACAAAACCTTTCTTGGGGCACCAGCTGCATTTTTGACCTGTTGACTTTGACCTTGGAGTTTGACTTGCATTAGAAAAACTTTAATCTTCCATTAGCTGCCATATGGGAGCATTAGTGTTTCACAAACACATCTTATTAAAAATAATTTTCAAAGGTCATAAAACCACCTGAATGCTACTCTGGCTTGCAAAAAAATGTGAAAATAGCTTTATTATGAGGCCTCATTTTGGTATTTATTGCCATTTAGTGATATCAACTATTCAAATAGGTGATATCATCTATTCAAATAGGTAATATCATCTATTTGTCATTCAAATCAAATTGGTGATACCACCTATTCAAATAGGTGATATATCTTATTCAAATAGATTATATACCTTATCAAATTGGTATGAGGTGCCGTTTTTATTGCCATTTAGTGATATAACCTATTGAATAGGTGATATCATCTATTCAAATATGTTTGATAGGCAAATACATGTAGGTGATATCACTTATTTGTATAGCTGCAGATATCACCTTTTCAAATTGGTGATATTACTTATCGAAAATGAATATGTGATATCACCTATAATGAATAGGTGATATCACTATTCGAATACCGGTAGGTGATATCAATTTATGAGGGGACATTTTGGTATTTACTGCCATTAAGTGATATCATCTATTTAAATAGGTGATATCACCTATTCAATTGGTGATAGCACCTATTCAATTGGTGATATCACCTATTCAAATAGATGATAGTAAATACCAAAATGGTCCCTCATACTTTATACATGTTTAGCAAGAAAATTACTAGAATTATAATCTTGCAACTGTAATCCACAAATAATCAGCTAAACCTACCTGAATGATGTTGAGTAGGTTACCATGGGCAACAGTCTTTTCAACACTTTCCTGCATTTGATAGGCATAAGCCTGACTCCATTCCTTCTGGTAAAGTTGTGTATACATACTTCTTATGTTGCTTTCTGTTTCACCAAGGGTATGGTGATCCCTTCTATATGAAAATGAAATATCAAGATAATTTAGAATAAGATGATCGATGATTGTCAAATGTGATTTCTTGTTTTATTTTCATAAGAAGCTAAACATATAATTATCATTCATTTTTATTAATTTTTTTTTTTGGGGGGGGGGGGGGAGGGGGGGGGGGTAGGTTAAAAGTATAGCCCTCTTAATATTGTTCTTTGTTAAGACTTGTAAATTAATTTATTGTTACTTAAAATTTGAAGAACATATGTGTTCAAATTCAAAATAAAAAAAAAATCCAGATGGTTAAAAGGAAGCATCAAGATTTTCAAAGGTCATTCAGTTCATTCCTTTTCCACTATCAATTTGTTGGTAATTTTCTGACTTATTTCTTATATTGATAAAACTACTGTAAATTCATACAAATGTGATTTGCTGGTTCCCTTTGACTGACTGGTGGTCAGTACTTCCTTCTGACCTTTCCCCCTCAAAGCATACACCTCTTCTGACTTGAGACGCAATTCTCTCTGAAGCCGAGTGACTTCTTTTCGTAGCTGTTCAATCTCCTCTGTCCTTGTTCGACTTTTCTTGTACACAAACGCAGCATTGACCCTTGGACTGATTTGTTCTGGGTCCTCAACATATTCATTTTCCCTGCAGAGAGTAAATTGATTTTCTGAATGTAGCATACAATCTTAAAATTATAAATATTCTTATAAAAATAAACAAGAAACTGATCTAAAAGGTAATTAACATTTTCTCTCAAAACAATGCAATGATTGGCTGTAAAAAAAAAAAATGCAGGTCCCCATTTTACAATAGAACTTATCATTAAGACCAGAATGTAATTTTGTAAATACATATATAAACTTTCTTCTTTAAAATTAAATTTGAAAATGGTTATAGATTTTTTTTCAAGAGTTTTAATGCATATTTTTTGTGAATATATAATGTTATAAATTTCAAAATTCAACACAAAATTTCAACGTTACATATTTAGCAGCTTTAAATTAGTACTTGTTATTCCTATGTAGCAGATAGACTAGAATATCATTCAAGATTGTAGCTCTATTTAGCTCTATGTAGGGCTCTGTAGCTGCTATGATTTTGAATAGCACTTGGCATATAATATTCAAGAAACTAAGTTAAACTGTAGTGCACTGGTCAGTATGAAAACTTTCAAATGCTCTTCTGATTATATAAATTTTTTTTTAAAAGGAAAGATTTAATTATTGTTACATCATTTACACATTTGTGTTTTCTGAGGAAAAGTAGAAGAGCATACCACCCTGGGTTCTTTATATGTGTTAAACTGTGTCCCTCTCTGATTATTCGTTTTAACCATTTAACTTCCTCCACAAGCTTTCGACATTGGTAACATGTAGGATTTGGCCGTACATTAATGTAATCTTCATTGGCGTTTTCTGTAATTTCAGCTCTAATCTGTTAAAATGAACAACTTCTATTATAATAGGTGCATCCCATCCTCTGGCCTTTCTTTCTTTCTTAAAACATTATCAACAATAATTGAACCAAAAAAAAAAAGAAAACGTGGGAAAAATTGTTTCAGAACAATAAATAATGTGTCAATCAATGCACACTCTTTTTTCAAAATAAGACCTTATTATATTCTGTATTATAATGTTGCATAGTTGCAGAAAATTACTTTGCAGCAAAATCTATATACAGTTGAACATCATTATCTCAAACACTGATATCTCAAATACCATGGATATGTCAAAGTGATTTGCAAGTCCCAACCACTTATTCTTCAAGTATTTTACCCTAGATATCTTGAATTCTTTGATATCTCGAAGTTTTTTCTCGATCTCTTTGAGTTCGAGATAAGGAGGTTTGACTGTATTTATATGCAAATGTAATACACACTACAGTGCCCAGCAAATGTATTTACCTAATTATATAAGTATCTACCTGATTTAAAATGGTTAAATAAAGTCTAACACATTCACAAACCTGTGTATTTTCTGAGACTCCAGCAAACTTTCTTGTTTTCCTGTAACGATACAAAACTTCACTTCCAAACATAACAGTAGTATAGTTTCTTCTCTTGTTTAAAATATTCACATAGCTGGGGACTCTTGACAATGCCATTTCATTTATGAATTTAATCAATAAGCAAACATCCTCATATTCACTTAAATCATCACAGTGGATCAATGGTTTTTATTCATCTTATTAAAAAATCAAATATTTGTGACAGAAGGACAACTCAACATAATCCTTTAAACTTTCTCTATCAATCTTTAAATACAATTCAAAGTTTACTTTTAAAAGGAATATTTTAGGTGTTCTGTGTTTTCTATTTTCGTTGAGCAGGTTTAGAGGTTTTATTTTGTGCACTAAGGCTGTCTTACTGTAATCTGTACATGAAAAATTAATACGTTCACAGTAGCACAAAAGATGACCGAAATGGTAGATATACATTAGTAGATAATACATAAATATACATATACATGCATATATATTAAAGGATAAAATTCTTATTTCTTACCTTGTTTGCACAAGACCTTGCAAAATATTGTTCATATTACTCCGTTACTTATCAATATATACATGTATGTATTAAATCTAACGTACTGTTAGATTCTCCTCAATTTAACTTTGTAATTCATATGCTTTTCTTGGTAAATATTAGCTTACACAAGTTCCTAAGGTCTAATTTATTCAGTCTTTGTATGCCAGTCAACTTCTTGTATAACCATAATTTTAATGAAACATTTCATGAATGTACAAGTAATTAGGTAGAAAATGCAGCCATTTAAACTCTCAGTATTCAAAGCTGTGTGCCACACTTTCCTTGTGTCATTTGATAAATGTACGTAACATCGTCAAAAGATTTAAAAACCTAACTATCTAATTTCAAAGAACTTTGACTTAGATTCAAAACAGGTACTCAGTAATGAATTACCTCTCCTGGACCAAGGTAAAGTTTGATTTTTTTTTATACAAGTATGTTAAATACACCCCGCCCCCCGCAAGAGAAAAAAAGATATGTTACTTTAAGGAGGAAAAAGGGGTAATCCTTAATATGGAAGTTCTTAAAATTTTCTAATTTAAATGAGCAATTAATAGGGCCAGAAATGTCAGAAAATTTCTAGATTTTATCTGAATTAATTATTATACAACAGAATAACTACAGAATTGGTCAAACATAGCCTCTGTAAGAGTTATTGCCCTTGACACAGCTGTCCATATTTTGAGGTGGAACCACCTTAGTGAAGTTGGACTAATATACACAGGTATTTCAATCCAGTTTTTCTTTGTTTGTTTACAACAATATTTCAGAACAAGTTATCCAATGGATTACCAGGATGATCACCAGATGGTGTGGGGAAGGGGGGGGGGGGAGATGAGAGGGGTATCCCCTCCCCTAAGTCTGAAAATATCTTATAAACTGGTACTATTCTGTAAGGCTGTGTATAATGAGCAAAACATTTTGATATGGTACACTAGTACTTATTTTATAAATTTAGCAATATGAGATATATTGGAGTTTTTATCCATTCTATCATATAAGTCTTGATAGTTGTTTTATGCATGAATTTGGTATCCATCTTGTAGTTCTTGTCTAACTGTCAATACAAAACATTACTTCTAATTCAAACTTTCAACATTTTTAAAATCAATGTGTAAAATATGTAGTACAGTGGTCTAAATGTAATGTTAATTCTCTATCTAAGATGTATAATCTGCTTAATGTTTATTATTTTTTAAAAAAATTTTAACAAATATAATTTTTGATGATTAAAAGTCACAACTTTTACACTGGGTTTGGAGACAAGCTGCCAGACGGATACATGTAGGTTTTGGAAGCTAAATTATTCCAATGTGACACACTCTTGAATATTGAAAAATTTCAATACATTTTTTTAAGCCCTACCATCCTGATGCATTTTCAGATATTTGAAAAATAAATAAATCAAGCAGCATTAATTTAAAAAGATGAATAATGAAATTATTTTGTTTCAAAATTGAAAAAAAGGGATGTGTGTAACCCCCCCCCCCCCCCCCCTTCCTTTGCAATAGCTTTGCTTTCAACAAAATTAATCTTAATATCATTATACCTCTACTGATTTTTCTCTATGCAAAAGTAGCAAATAAATCTGTGCTTATTCCGTAAAATTCAATTCAGTATTGGCCCCAAAAAGCAAATGTTATTTTCCTGGTCCAAGATCCATCTTTGCTAACCCTTTAGCTCAGTCGGTAGATTGAGTGTTGGATTTTAAATCTGAGGGTTGTAGGTTCAAGCCAGTGTGGACACCCTAGCTATTTGGTCATATTACTACAACAATGCCTCTACCACTAGCCAGACCTTTATACATGTACCTGTATATATAACAACATGTAAATGCATAAGACCAGGCTCGGGGGCCATAAAACTGAGACAAGCTCACTTTTGACCTCAGTCTCACTTTTCCACTACTAATTCCTTTTGTAAAAGTGAGATTAAGATCAAAAGTGAGCTCATCTCAGTTTTATGGCCCCCGAGCCTGCTCACCATATTAAGATGGACAACTTGGGTTGTGTTCTTCTTTGTCTGTAGATTGACTGGTGGACTGATTTGATAAACTGTTAAAAGTTCATTTACATCAACTTTCTCTACTTCCTTGGATGGTCGTTCATCTGCCATCTTTCTCTCCTTCTTTCTATATACATTTCTTTGTTCAGGCTTTGCATGTACAGGCATGTTCATTAGTCTCCCATCTAGTATAATTAAATCATCAAGATATGTCTTGCAATGGATACTATAGGTCTTTTCAATGAATCTCTAAAGTTTGGATTTAAAAAAAAAATTATCCGTTTGAAATTTAAAGCTATCCACAATCAATCCAGGATTGCCTCCCTATATTTGTAACAAACTTCTCTATGCTAGCCATTTCAGTAAATGGTAAATCTTACAGGTACTAAATGTTAAGTCAATTATTATGTGAAAAGAACTCGCACATGTTACTATGTACCATGTGTGTTTATTTATTCAACAAAAAGGTACATGTAAATATGGCAGTTTTTCAAATGTCTTAAGTTTTAAGGTTGATCCAAATCCATTTTTGTATGTTCTTTTCATTTCATACCCCCCCCCCCCCCCTTCTCCAAACACCACTATGGCACTGATTAATGATTATGATCCTCAGTGCCTCATAGCTTCCACTGTATTAAACCAAAACAAGAGAGCACTTAAAATTTATTTATGTAAGGATATTAACTTACATGTCTAAATCAGGGGCAGTAACTAGTTTTACCTCCATATACATACCCAGTATGCCTTTTTATTTTTTCTCCCTTTATTACTTGTATGTAGCATGTAAGTCAAATCAAAACAAACACATAGTATATTAACTTTTGCTTTAATATGACAGTATTTCTGTACATGTAACAACAAAGAAATAAATGACTAGAAAGTAGACCTCCTTTACTTGTGGTTTTGGAGATGCCTCCAAATACATTTTAATTAGCATATACAGTCATCTCAAATCAAAATTACATGGAGTACACATGTTCATAAAAAAATGTATCTCTTTGTAGATCAAACATATCTTGATACATCTGCAAAAATATTGTTATCAAGAAAATATATACCCTCTATAGGCACTCCATTGTAGAGGAAAGGGTAATGTTTGGTTAAATTTGTATAACTAATGCATGACTTCAATTTATTATTTTGATTAGGAAAAACCAGTCTCATCCTTCTTTTTTGGACAAATATTCCAAAAAAGATTTTACCTTTCCATTAGACATATGTAAATAAAGTTTTTTTATGTCTTACATCAGCACGTATCTAATTATAACTCTTACTTAATTGTCAGTATTTTGCGTTACTAAAAACATGGGATTTAAAAGAAAAGAGACTGTCTTATGCAATTGATGTCTTTGTTAAGACAAAATAGATGGATTTCTTTTGTTTGTTTATTAAACTCTTTTTGGCACATTTTCTCCTGTGTATAGTTGAGTCATATCTAACTTTTGAATTAAATAACCATATATCACTTTACCAAATCTTTTTTTGGTAAAAATCAGCCTTGAGCTTTTCATCTAAATGATCAAGGATTTCACTCCATTTTTTTTACCCAAACCACAGGTTTGTAGAAAATATGTATGTATTTCATTGTGACATAAATAGCTAAAAAGAAAATTGTCAGCACCACTTTGAAAGAAGCTGGCAAACATTAATTAAAGATAGCTTTTCTCATAATCTCTTGACATTTTGGAAGGATTCCAAAATCAGTATGACTCAATTCCGTCTGCAGAAAAATTGATGCACACTTCAAGAACATTATCCTATCACAAAATATGGTCTAATGCAATTGATTTTTTTTAGACACCATGGTACTGTAATGTTCAATAACACAACAGTCCCAAATAATACGCTAGCACAATACAAAAGAACACATTTTTTTTTCCTCCTCTGAGTGAAGCTTCTACGAAACAGTCAGATTTCACAAGTCAGTTGCACACTTGCAAACAACTATAGAATTTCCCACAGTGAAGTTGTTAACACATTGAGTCCTCCCCATTTATTGCCATGAGTTTCATGTCGCGACTTTCGAGCTCCAAAGTCAGTTGCTCCACTTCAGCTTCAAGCATTTTGTTCTTATTGTACATTTGCACATAGTTCAGCTGCAGTTGTTTTTGATAACGAATCACTTTATTTTTCTCATCTAACCATTGTTCTTTTTCTTTCTCAAACAACTCGTTTTTCCCCATTAGACCCTCCTTTAATTCCTCCAGTTCTTTCTGGAGATGTGAAATTGTCTTGTCCTTGTCTGATTCACTGCTCAGAGAAGACGTTGATTTGTTGCTGAGATTAAGGGGGGATGCGTTTGGTAGTCTTTGATTCACTGGGGAGGTCAGCCTACTGCTAGTCAATGGAGAGGTCCTCTCACTCAAATCAGGGGCAGAGAACTCCTCCCCACTTTGATTAAAGCTACAATCGAGTATATCCATCACATTATTATTGGACACACGACGGAGGTTAGCACGTAAGGATTTCAATTCGTCTGTTTTGGCCACTATTTCTCTAAACCGTTCACTTAATTCGTGGTCTTTCTTTTGATTTTCTGACTCAATTCTACATAATTTTGACTCCAGCTCAGAAATTTCTATGGATTTTTCCGACAGACTTTGGTTGAGAATTTCCACCTGGTGCTGAAGATCTTCCATGTCTTCAGCAGTTCTGTCCCCTTGCAGCGAAACATTGACCACCTCCGATCGTAAACTGTCATTCTCTTTTTCGTAAGAGTCACATTTTTGCTGTAGTTTTTTGTATTGTACATGCATTTCTTCCAGTTTCTCAGTCAGTGTCTTTTTCTCCTGCTGTAATTTGTAAACTTGAAGAGAAAGAGTTTGTTCCGTTTTGTAGGCTTTCCTTTGTTCTAGTTTTAATTTCTTCTCATATTCATCCCTCACCTCTTTTATTTCCTGACTCCATGAATTCTTTTTCTCTTCATAGACCTAAAAGCACAATACATGTATTGTACACTCAATCGAAAATAAATATAGCATTTCAGGTAAATCATTTCTTTTTACTGCATTTGATCAATGAACCTTCCCAAGATTAAACATTTTTTTTCAAAGTTATATATGAGTGTGACTGAATTTTTTTGCCATTTGATCTGTAAGATTATATTGTACATGTATACAGCTGTGTACATTATACAACAGATATATACCTGGAATATGGCACGTTCATTTTTATCCATGACATCTCTTAGTGTATTGATCTCAGCATCTTTTTCTTTCAGCATGGCTTCAAGTTCGCCCACCCCCGAATCACTTGGTGAGGGGGTTTGTATATACCCCTCCATCCTTAGTGATGAAGCATGACTAATACAGGATGAACGGGTGGATTCAGGTCTCTCAGGCGTGTACAGTTTTTGACTATCACTAGAGTAATTTGTCGACCTATCACTGTCAAAATGCACAGATCCATGTGACATGTCTGCTACATTCTGATTGGTCATCGGGTAGTCCTGTGACCCATAATAGCCATCGTCCTGTTGTGGAGTCTTTGGGTCAAAGTGACGAGTATTTACATAGTTGTGATTGGAAATGACCACTGGCTTGAAGGCGATTGGTCGAATTATGCCCTTTGCAGGAGACTGAAATGAAAAGAAAAAATTTTTGAATACATATCAACACAAAATATTTGCTGCACCAGTACAACCAACTCAGACAGGTCAAACCTTCATCAAAACAGCCTGCCTACAACCATTGAACAGTACATGTATCAGTGTGCGTCAGTCCATAGTACTTCTAAATAATTCATCAAATGAAACATACTAGATACCTTTCTATCAGGTGATACACACTAGCTGTTACATGAGTAAACAAATGTTCATCGATAAGATCCTGGGGTTTTGCAAGAATGTTGTAGTAATTGGTTCAAGTTTTACCTAGGAAATACCTGTGCAAAAGGGACAGCCTATTGTCTTTACAATAATTAACTAATTCTCCAGGGAATGGACATACATCAATACAGATTTGGCTGGAGCCATGACTATGTCTAACATCAAAGCCTTTTGTCTACCTGCCTTTCATCAAAACATCTAAATGCAGTTGACATCACGTTTATTTTGGAACAGGTAAAAAAGAATTAAAAAGGTAAGGTTTGTCATACTTAAGAAAAAAATTTTTGGAGAAGTGCATGCATACACTTATCAATCAAAACTTTGGGAGGAGGAAAAAGTTAAAAGCATATAAAGAAACAGTTTAAATATCAATTTTTCCCTCTCGAAACAGTAGCCCTTTCATTTCAAAACTGCATGTCTGTCAAAAGTGTTCATTTCACCCCAAGCAAATAATTGCTCGCTATAATCAGATACGAGTTTTAAATAACCCCAAATGACACATCATGGTTGACACTTCCAAAGCACAGAATTGGGCCCCTTTATGAATTATCTCCCTTTATCAAATCTGATAAAGACTTAAATGCATGGCCATTAAACAGTTAATTGATAAACCTGTGCTTACTTGCTTTAAAGGATCTTAAAGAGAATGGAAAGTGGCCCAGTATTTGCATACTTTAATACCAACAAGACCAAAATTCAAATAAATATGCCATTTTGGAGTGAGCTAGGGAGGAAAGTATACCCTTGTATCAACAACTTGTTGCTACCAAGGTATTACTATATACAAATAAAATATTCTCCTCTTGTAGATGTCCAAAAAAAAAAAAAATATTTTGGCAGACAAATATTCAAAATTTTATGCAAAGTGAATTTTAAGATCTGTGCATTTTGATTTGAAATAGAAAGACTTAATTTTCAAACTGGTTTAATTTTACATTAATTAAAAAATTTACATTAGTTTACTTTACATAAAAAATTAACAACAATGGACAAAAATGATTTCTCAGTTGCGTATAGGTTTCATGTAGTTGGTAAATTGACCAATGGAATACACGTTATTACGTGCTGCATATATGTTGATGCATTTAAGTGCGTAAGAATAATCACATGAAGTACTTGCCCTGATACATTGTATTGGATAATCACATCCTATAACTGTCAGCTATATACCAGGCTACCAGCATATTAACAAATTTTGTAGAAGAAAGATTGATGAAAATTCTTTTTTTTAACCACATTGGGTTAATATAAAATAAATTATTTCATATCAGTCATATGCACACCTCAGTGCTATGCACTTTTGTAGGATCATGTAACACCTTATTAAATCAATTATGTAATGTGATGACATAAAAAATCTAAAGTGAAAAAAAATCAAATAAATGAGCTAAAAACTGTAACTGGAGATGACACACATAAATGTATATAGTAAAATGATCAATTTTCAAGAGGGAAGAAAAACATAAATCATGAACAAAGCCAAAAAATCTTTAATTGAAAGCAAGGCTATATTAAGCCCTAGATAATAATGGCTTCTAATACTAACTATTTCCTCTTGGATGGTGGCATAGAAATTGAAAATTGTTGTGCTTTTCAAATGGGGACTGCAGGTGCCTGCACATGTTAAGTGACCCAGAATTCAATTAAATTCTCGTACATCATTGTCAAGGTAAATTAAAATATTAAAGGAAAAAAAATTCATTATCCATCCCAAAATTATCAAACCCATCAAAAACTTTTCAGAAAGGTGAATGGGGGCCACAGGTACATGGAAAAAAGTACTGCCTCAGGAAATCACTAAAACATGTCCTCCACATTCATAAATGCTTGATTATACTAATTGAGGAAAAATCTCTTTAGAAAAATGCAACCATATAAAGTTAGTATGTGCCATTGCACAGATACAGTGTATTTAGACCCATCCCCCATCACTCAATGGATTTTATTTCTCTCCTTGCATTTATAACCTTCCAATGCCTTTTCTACTAAAATATAAAAGAATGTCTCCTTCATATATGTATACATACTCATTAGTGAAGTTTTACAACATCAAGAGTCTTGACAATCTCCACTAGAGAAATATTTACCCCCCTCGAATCATACATTGTATGGTGAATGTTGACAAAATTAAATCGGATTACGTGACCAAGTATTACTTACCCGTGATTGTCCTGTTGTAAATATTAACCAAGAGATAATGAGGGTCACTCAGGTATATTGAAACATACAGTCAGGTAGATATATACCAAACAATCCAATATAACTCCCTAGAATTAAGTCCTGTGTTTGAAAACAAAATTCAGACATGCCATTGAAAGCATATAAGCAAGCATCTGCCGCCTCTTTTTTGTTACAAAAAAACCTCTCCTATCCTGGAGGTGAAAATTGATTTTTTATCGCATTATGGCTTCAAATGATACCTGAATTAATATAAATTCAGGATCAATTCAGGGTCTATCATTGATCCATATAACACACACACTTGGACCTGCATACCTGAGTAATCAATGAGACAAACACTTAATTGAGTCTGAATGTTTTGATTTCAGGGTACTGGACACCCTGGTCATACAGTTAATACACCACATGGTCATTCTTGTACACGGCAGTTTTTAACTAAATTATTCAAGAAAATACGGACAATTAAATTAGCTAGCACCCACAGATTAATGTCTGCAGAGATTTTGAGTGCTTTACAGTTTTCAGTCTACACAATGTTTAATTGATTTTTACAGGAAAGACTGGACAAAGGACACATTTAAAATGAGAATAAAATGGTAAAAATAATATATATTGCAATAATTAATAACCCACCCTCTTCATTTTAAATTGATACATGTATGCACAACATATTCAATGGCAATAGTGTAACTCAAATCTTACATTCATCCAATCTTGTTCATAACGTACCTAGTATAGATTTTCATTACTAATTACTCACCCCTCTCATTCCTATATTTTAATCACTAATAAAGGTTTTGTATTCATCATGTTAAGTCCCTTCATACATCACCCTAACCACTGTGTTTCCTATTATGTATAGACTACTGTTGTAACACTGATGTAGGAAGTGTGCAATATATGTCCTGCAGCTGAATGATTCAGGACTTTCCACATCAAAGTACCTACATGTGAATTGACTTAGGCTAAATACATGTACTACCTTTCATGTATCACTATTTGCATGATGATAATATAAAATACTCATTCATCACCGTTCCACCTGAATTCTCTAAGGAAACACAAACTGTTCATTTGCTTTCAAAGTGAATAAAAAGATTTTTTATGAAATCCTGATATGGAGATTAAACACTTTTTATGATGATTACTTTTTTTTCTTTTATTTCCAAAACAACAGCTGGCTTTAATAACTGTCTTGCCATTTTAGTCATTCACAGCTGCATTACAAAGGACCAATGACCATATGCGGCATTTCAATTAAACACATGAAAAAAAATCACTGTCATATTACTTAGTTTAGTATAAACAAAAAAAATCCACCAATAAACTCAATCAAAGTAGCTACATTTTTTAACAAGTCACTTTACTTAACATTTTGAATGACTGCACATCATACGCCTAAAACTGAAGACATTAATCAGATTTTAATGCAATCAAGATATGATATATACTTTCATACTGTCAAACCTTGAATAAATCACCTGATAGTTTACACATAGGTGCATCTTCCTCAATTCTAAGAAAAATATACAATGTACATTCTAAATCTATATACTGTAATACTTTAAAGTTTAAAAAAAAAATCAAATCCCGACCCCCAGGAAATAGCATTAGATTTCCAATCATCTGTTTATAGGTGCACCATCACCTGTAGAACTGCACAAAATTATCCCTCGGACTAAAACTGCACCCCTCCCCCCTTTAAATTACCTTTGAAGTAGGAGACAGTGTGCAGTATCCTCCGTCTTCCTCCTCCTCCATGTTGTCTCCACTAGAGGTCAGCACAGGGACAGATGGAACTCTTCTTTGTTGACAGTCTGTCAATCTATAGCCAGCTGTCTTATCACACACTAATCCCACAGAACTATGGAGAAGGCCGGATAATGTGGACCCTCGTTAATGGAAGCTTTTGTGTCTTTATGATGTGTACACCGTCACCTAAGCCCTATTACCTACATTCCTCATCATGACACACAATTTTTACCTACATACACCTGTAAGAGGAATTCCATGGGCTCTAGGGGATGTTATGCCTCGATTTCTTGCTCTTTTCTCTCGATATATCAAGTGTCAATGATAGGGGTTGGATGGATTCTCACACTTTCCTTTGATATGGGTCTGATAAAATTCACCTGGAGTAAATATCCCATCAGCTGTTCCCAGTCTAAGGCTGTAATGACCACCTTTGGTCCAAAAGTAAGATTAGGTAATTCCGTGGTTTTTCTGACACTGGTGATCCAATTATAGCTGATCAGGGGTTTATATTGACAGACTGTTTAATCCTTCCCCTGTTTACATTTTGTCCTCTTGGCAGTCATATAAAAGCAGTTATTTGGGACACGAATATTTTCTCCCACCATGCAATTACTGCAAGCTTCCTTGTATAATTGTCACAGTCTCGCCAGCAATCGAGGACACTTTTTGTCAAGCTTGCCGGATATACCCATGAAACCATTCATTATCTGATGAGAAGGCAATATTTATGTGGTGCGTCTCCAATTGAGGGCTCTTACTTTTCTGTAACAACCTCAGCTCGAGAGTTCTTACTGCTTGCCTGAATTACCTAGGAG